CGGCGGCAGCAGCACAGCGTCGAGCGCCGCGCCGCCGCCATGCGCCTCCGCGCCGCCGCCGCCGCCCTCTGCCTCTGCCTGCTGGGCGCCTGCCGCCTCCGCCGCGGGCCGCAGGCCGCCGCCGCTCCCCAGCGACCCCCGGCAGCCGCGCCTTCCTCCTCCTCCGCCTCCTCCTCCTCCTCCTCCTCCGCCGCCGCCGCCGCCTCCCCCTTCTCCTCCCCGCCGCGGAGGGACGGGGCGCTCCGTAACGGCACGGTGGTGCCGCACCGCTACATGGTGACCCTCTATCAGCGCCTGGCCGCCCGACGAGGCGCTGCCGCCCGCCCCGTCGGCACCGTCACCGGCTTCGTGGAGCGGCTGCGGGGCGGTGAGTGCGGGGCCGGGCGGCGAGAGGGGGAGCGCACGTCGGGGATGTGCGCGGGACGGGGATGGAGATGGAGATGGAGATGGAGATGGAGATGGAGATGGAGATGGAGATGGAGATGAGCGTCGGTTGGGACGGGGCAGCGCGCTTGAATGGAGCCGTGAGCGGGACGGGACAGTGCGTGGGGATGGAGCTGCGTGGGGATGGGGCTACGCGTGAGCCCCGCGGGGCAGTGCGTGGCTGTAGGGTGCGGGTATGAGAAGGGCTGGGTGGAAGCAAGCGCGAGGCAGAGCTCCGATCCTCTCCCACCCGTGGCGTTGCCCATAGGGATGCTTCCACCGCCGGGATCGGGGACGGCACTGCGGCTGCGGTGCCCCGCGTTGGGGCTGTGTTTCTTTGCCCCATTCGTACCCGCGGATCCGATGATTTTGAATTGAGCAGACACACATCGATCTATTTTTTCTTTTTTTCTCCCATGTGCGCTTACACGCACTGTGTCGTCCCGACAAAACTTTTCGCGGGGTGAAAAAAATAATTAAATCAGACCCTCTTGCCCTCCCCAGATGGAATACAATGGGAAGCCGAAGGGAACGGCAGCTCCCGGCTCCCTCTGTGCCCGGATTCCCGCAGCCTCTGTACTCTGCCCGGCAGCGGCACTGAGGTTCAGCGGGGGAGCAGCCGGGCCGGGGCGGGGGGAGATGCTGCGGGGTGAGCTCTGCGAAGGGATCCCGTTATCCGGCCCCTCTGGAACTGCAGATTTGCTTTAAAAGAAAATAATAATTATTATTATTGTAAGAAAGGACGGGGAGAAAGCTGTTTCCCAGCCGCAGCGCGGCTGCGAGTCGGGGAGAGTGCGGGGCTCGGGCATGGCAGCGTGCAGCGGTCTGGTTTCTTATTAGAGAGGAGAAAAGAAGAAACCCCAGAACTCATTCATCTCCCCTTCTCTCACCCCCTCCAGCTCTTCTTTTTATTTATCTATTTCTTTTTAAATTAACATCTGGTATATCAACGGTGCCAGAAACGGCACAAGTCTGCATTTGGGCTGTGCGTGCACCCCGTTGGACTCAATGATCTTTACGAGTCCCTTCCAACTCCGGGTATTTGCTGTTTCTATGAAAAAAAAACAAACAGGGACAGATTCAGCTTCTGGAATGCGCCCGTGGCAGACACCCCGAGGCAGCACCCAGTGCCTGCAGGGGACAATGGGATTTCCCCTGTTCTTTGCTGGGGGGACGCGGGGAGCGGGAGGGCACTCGCTCGGAGCCATCCCTCCGACCCCTCCTTCCCTCCCCGTTCTTTTTCCGCCCCTGAACGCGGTGACACCGCCGGGACAGAGGGCTGTTTCCCTCCCGCCGGGCTGCTCAGCCCTTCGCCCATTGCTACCATTCACTGCTTGTCCCGCGCACCTCCGTTACGAGCGCTCGGCTTATCCTGGCTGGGTTTGATATTGTGCCTTTTTTTTTTTCTCCTTTTCGTTTTTCTATTTCTTCTAATTTTTTCTTCTTCTTCTTTTTTCCTCCTTTTCCCCCCTTTTTCCTTCTCCTTTTTTCTTTTTTTTTTTCCCTGTGTTCTTTTTGTATTTTTTTCTTGTTCTTTTTGCATTTCTTTTTCTTTTCTCCCTCCCAGATGCCTCCCCTTCCGCCCCCGAGCAGCGCTACCTCTTTGACATCTCCAGCCTGCCCGAGGCAGAGGAGGTGACGGGCGCAGAGCTGCGGGTCCTACGCTCCCTCCCTGCAAACCGCAGCCTGGCCCTGTCCCCCGAAGGCACCTTCCACCACCTGCTCCTCTCCACCTGCTCCGGTCGGGCCGACGAAGAGCCCAGGCTGCTGGACTCCAGAGCAGCCGATGTTGTGGATGCAGGCTCCAAATGGGAGGTGTTTGACGTCTGGGAAGCGCTTCGAGACCGCAGGGAGAGGCCCCCAAAGGGCAAACTGCTGTGCTTCGTGCTGAGGGTGGTGTCGGATCGCTCGGGCCGCCTCCTGCCCCCTCGGCAGCTGGGATTCGGCAAACCCCATCCGCAGCCCCTCGAGCGAGCGCTGCTCGTGGCCTTCTCCCGCACCCAGAGGAAGGAGAACCTCTTCAAGGAGATCCGGGAGAGGATGAAGGTGCTGGGCGGCCCTCCCTTGCTGGAGCCTCCTGATCCCGGCCGGGAGGCGTACCCCAAACGGAGGAAGAGGAGGACCACCATCGCTGCCCGCTCCGGGGGCAAAGGCCATGGGAAGAAGGCGAAGACGCGCTGCAGCAGGAAGCCCCTACACGTCAACTTCAAGGAGCTGGGCTGGGACGACTGGATCATCGCCCCGTTGGATTACGAGGCGTATCACTGCGAGGGGGTCTGCGACTTCCCCCTGCGCTCCCACCTGGAGCCCACCAACCACGCCATCATCCAGACCCTGATGAACTCCATGGATCCGGAATCCACCCCCCCCCAGCTGCTGCGTGCCCTCCAAGCTCAGCCCCATCAGCATCCTCTACATAGACTCCGGGAACAACGTGGTGTACAAACAGTACGAGGACATGGTGGTGGAGACGTGCGGCTGCAGGTAGCAATTTCTGCGGCTCTTCCCCACCCCACCATGCCCCATTTTATATATAAATATATATATAATATATATATATACGTACACATTTTGGTGTGTGCCTTTCCAAGAGCCCCCTGTCCCCATGGGCTGCCCCGAAGGGATGGGGAAACCCTCTCTGTTCCTTTCTCAAAGTTTTGGGGCTTTCTGCATCGCCCTCGTGTTGGGGCGGTGGGAGCTTTTCTTTCTGCATGTAAGGACACCTCTTCAGAGCATCTGGGGAGAAGCAGAGTCCTGAGCTCCCCAGGGATGAGCTGCTTTGCTTGGGTTCTTATTTTTCCAAGTAATTGCTATAAAAAGGCCGGGCTCCAATCCACCTCCCTTTGGCAGCAGCTCCGTTCCTCCCTGCCTGCCCTAAGGGAGCCCGCATCCTCTGGGCAGAGACATTTAACTTGCAAAGAGCAGAGCTGAGAGGGCTGCATATTGATAGGAGATGGGCTTAAATTGTGCCTTGAACCCCAAGAAGCCTGGTATCAATTGTGGGATGCTGCCAGGTGGCTTTCTTTACTGAGCTGCAGCTTTGTGGCTCTGCTTAGGTCAGGGATGGGATAGCTTTGGGTTTGATGATTTGGTTTTTGTTGGTGTCCAAGTTGTTGCCTTATAAATATCAGTACTCAGCTATGGAAGTTTGCTTTTGGGGAGATCAATTCCTGCTGGAAAATGTTTATTTTTTTTCTATAGAGCTCCTCATCCTCAGAGATGTCTGAACAAAGGGCAGGCAGCCTCCCAGCCCCAGACCACTTCCTTGGGCAGAAGAGAGCACCCAGCTCTCACCCAAGCAGCCCCCGCTGAGACAGTAAGACATCAGCAGGGCTCCCATCCTGTGTATCACTGCAGAGAGGTACTCTGTGGGACAATCCCAGTGTCTCTCCGTCCTCATCCCCAGGACTCCAGCAAACCTTATCCAACATCCCTAACAGCTGTTGTACCACACCCTTAGCACAAGCATCAATCAGAGTGGGGGGATGCTGGCCCTGCACTGTTCCCAAGCCCATCAAGCTTCCACATACCTGGCTCTTCAATCAGTGATGGTCTCCAGGTAGCTTTCCTCACTGCTGAAACATGTTTTCCTTTTTTTTTTTTTTCTCCTTTCCTCCAAATATTTGCTGTAGAGGTTTGTGGGCAGTTCAGTATTTATATACACATACAGTTCCTGACAGCCCCACAAGTGGCCCCAGGCCCCTTCTTGCAGGACACAGAACCATGTCCACATTTGTGCCCCAGAGAGCAAAATTCTGGCTCGGTCACCGCAGGTTTGCAGCCTGGATCAACTGCAGTAAGGGAAAATGGGGAGGTCTGGGGAGAGCACCAGAGGCTGCAGCTGGCGGCAGTGCTGTCTGTGGATTTGCCCATTTGGGAATTAATTGCCACTCTCCCCATAGGGCACCTCTGTTTTTTGGCAGAGAGCTCTTCTTTGGGCAGCCTGATGTGGGTGGCAGTCCTGCCCATGGCAGGAAGTTGGAAATGATCTGAAGTCCCCGTCCAACCTATGCCTTTCTATGACTCTGTGATAGGTGAGGTTGGCTCCTGCCAGGGGATGCTCTCTGGGGTATCACTGCCAGGACCTATAAAGGCATTGAAACCACCCTGTGAAGAGGTATTCCTGATCCATCTCCTCTTGCTTGAGCTGATTGCTGAGCAGTATAAATAGGAGACGAGAGGCTGAAAGCAGACAAAGGTAGATTCAGTGGACTCGGAACGATTTGAATGGATAATTGCAGGTTCCCAATCTGCTGTATTTATACAGCCTTTCCAGGAAAAAAAGAGAGGGGAAAAAAAAAAAAAAAAAGAGAAAACAGAAACAGTTTCCATGCAGAGTATGTTCTCCTGGAGGATTTGCCTGACCTTCTGCACCGTTTTTATCTGCAGGATGTAATTACAGCAAAGCTAGAAATAGCAAGCGTCTGGAAAGGGCCGTGTACCTGTGCTTGGTGCTCCCTCCCCTCCTGTGTGGGGCAGCAATGACTTAGGCACAGGGAAAAGCTGCTGAGATCCAAAAAGGCTTTGACAGCACTTAGCTGGGACTCAAGGTGCATGGTCAGGCCAAGGCTGGTGCGTGGAACCTGTGTGTAACACCAGAGCCTGTGCTTCCAGCACCGCTTCACTGCGTCCTGGAGACCACAACCCACTGGGGTCCCGAAGCAGGGGCAGATGGAGCGGCGATGTCCTCCTGGGCTGTTTGCTGATGCTTGGCACACCCGTGAGGAAAAGTCTGGCAACCCCAAGCTGCCTTCTGCTCAGAGCTGAGCGGCAGCCGCTTCTGCGTGCGTTCGCACCATATGGATTTTAGCTCACATCTTGCTCGTGTGGCTCTCGCTGCTGGGGAGAGCAGGGAAAGGCCAGCAGTGATTTATTGGTCACACTCCCTTTGCAAAGCAAGCAGCCACTTCTGCTGCTGGCAGCCTCAGGGCTCTCTCCCACAAACCCTGAAGTGTGTGTTTAGTGGTGGTCACCCTGCCAGCTCCCCCAGAACCGCAGGCACGGGGAGCTCTCTGCCCCTCCTGTCCTTAGTGGGTCTCTGCTGAACCACGTTGGTGCATCTACTATGTTGTACCAGCCATAAGCTAGTTTATCTTTTCCATGACAAAACCAGCTGCAGTCAGCCTCTGAAGCTCCTTGTTCCTTTAGTGCCTTGCTGCATACATGAGAATGCACAGCACTCTCTGGTATTCATACTGTATCAGCAGTTGTCCTGGATGTTCAATAAATTATCAAAATCTGGAACTCCTGCTGGTGGAGGAGGACCAACAAAGAGCCTATCCTTCATCTCTGAGGATGTTTTACAGCCTCAGGATATTTAGGTTGTGCTGCTGCTCTCCCTTCTGCTGGCACCACTATTAGAGCAGTCCTGAATTTGCTGTGCTGTAAGGAGCCTGGGGGAAGGCATGGGCAGGGTGATGTACTCGTGTTCAGCTTCTGGCTGAGGTTGCCCAGAGAGGTGGTGGATGCCCCATCCCTGGAGACACTCAAGGTCAGGCTGGACAGGGCTCTGAGCACCTGATCAAGCTGTAGGTGTCTCTGTTCATTGCAGGGGAGTTGGACTAGATGGCCTTGAGGGTTCATTCTGACTCAAATAAGGAGCACTGAGATTTGTGGTGGCTGGGAAATGGAGAACGAGTGAGGAGAGGAATCATATCATATTGTAGAATGGCTTAGGTTGAGGGACAACTTAAAGCCCATCCAGTTACACTGATGTGGGCTGATTGTGCCCCACCAGATCAGGCCGCCCAGGGCCCCATCCAACCTGATCTTGAACACCTCCAGAGAGCATTCATAGCTTCTCTGGGCAGCCTGTTTCTGAAGGCTGAGGCCTACCAGCATGAGTTGCAGACATGGAGCCACCAGGCTATGGGTCTGGCTGGGCTCATGGTGGAGAGAGTAGAGTTCCTGCTCACACATTCAAATGTTTTCCCAATAGCAGATGGAAGCATTTGGGTCTTCTCACTGCTATGCTGTGTTATGAACCTCCACTGAGGTTCTCCATTAGCAGAGCAATAATGGAAATATGGAGCTGGTTAGGGCCTGGCCACTCTGGGTGCTGTGGAATTGGCTTTGATCTTGGCTATGGGGAGAGATGGCTGTGTTCTCTGTAGTGCTGTTCCACATAGAAACTTTTCTGCTCCCACAGCCCTACCTTGAAGAATCATTATGGTTGGAAAAGATCTTTAAGATCAACTAGTCCAACTGTTCACCTACCATCAATATTGCCCAATAACCACATCCCTGAGAAGAGAGAGGAGGGGAGCAGGAGGAAAAGACCAAGAGCCCCAGCTGAGGGCTGAGAACTCACACTGGCTGGGCTGGGAGCTGTGAGGTGTTAGAGAACTTCCATGGGGCAAGAGAAGGGATGGCACCAGGCTCTGGTCATTGAGGAGGCGCTGAAGAGACGTGGTCCAGTTGGCTGTGATCAACTGAGAGTGGGGCACCTTCTTTGGGCAGGGAAAGGTGATCATGCAGGTTTAATTCACCCCATGTGCTGTGAGTAGGTTAACCTGTAGGATTAAATAGTGCATAAAAGAAAGATCTGAGCATCTGAAGTGCCGTACCTTTGTAAATCAAGCTCTTGGCCCTGTGGTTTGGGGGCTGACTCCAAAGGCCTTTCAGTGCATGGAAGAGCTGCTCTGTTTGTGGTGCTCCCCAGCTTAGATGCAGCCTGGGGCAATGTCAGTCCTTGTTTATCCAGTCTGCTAAACTAGCACCTATCCTACCCTTGCCTGTTCTTTTTCTGAAGTGAAGACTATCTGGAGCTCTTTTTATGACAAAATGAGCCTCTCTGCTGGTCAGTCATGGTTTTATTTATGTCTTATTTTCTTTGGTTAGAAAGGAAAATATCAGTAAAATGAAAAAGGACTCAAGTTTCCAATAGCTATATCTGTAGTAGTTAATTTTTTTGAAGCAATACTTGTATCCCTGTGTGTGCCTCTAACCTTTCCATGTATTTGTTCAGCTTTGTCAGGTCTGAGTGTGAAATATCTCTGAGAAGATAGCTCTGTAAGTGATGGTGTAAATGCATTGTTTGTATGTATTCTAAAGTTTAAATGGATTGTACATATTGGATTGTAAATGAACTGTAAACAGCAATCTATATTTTCTTGAATATATTATATAGCAGTATATATTTGTTAAATAAGTATTCTTGTATACTCTTCAGTAACCTTTTTAATATTTTGTACAGATAAGTTTATTAAATATTTTATTGATAAATAGACCTCGGTGATAGTTTTTCTTTCTAAGCCTTGTGCCTTGTGCCAAAACCAGATGGCTCATTTCAGAGTACCTTTCCTAAGTCGCATCGGCTTCCTGGGCTATTGAAGTTGCTAAGGCAAACAGTGAAAAAGCTGTTCATTTTACAGCACTTTCCTTGGCAAGCTCAGGTATTTTAGAAAGGGAAAAAAAATGGGAGCACACTGAGTGTTTGCAATGAGTTTCTCATCAGAAGAGGTGCATCCCTTTTCTTCCCTGTGTGTTTGAAAATACTTCTCCTGCCTTGACCAGGAGCAACCCAGCTCCAGACAACCAAGCAGAGTGCTCTCCATTAACCTGAACACAAAAATGTAGGAGCTAAGGAACACTAAGTTGAAGGGGTAAATATGACAACTGGAAGAATCTCCCCTGCTCACACTGTGCTTGTGACCATACAAAACCCTTTGGATGGGTTTGACTTGAGCCCAGGTCTCTGCCCTGACAGGTGCAGAGGGAGTCCAAGGCGATGGCCTTCCTAAGGGTAGGGATGTACCCAGTCTACTCACACCTGGTGAGAACATCCCTCTAGGAAACGAGGATGAAATGTTGCATTTAAAAACTCGGGGAATGAAAAAGTTTGGGGAAAATGCAGTAGAAGAATATTTTAATTCCACTTAGATATCCCTGGTATGCATGATACATGTCTACTGCTCTAGAGATTAGATATTACTAAAATAGTATTTTTATTATACAGCTTCTAATTAAATATATGTTTTGTTTTTCTCTCACTCTCCTGTTTCTTCAGTCAATCTTTCAAATATATATATATATAATTTATATTTAAAAGCTTAATAAAGCTCAATGGGATATGAAAACCTTCTGCATACTTAAGTGAACTTCAAAAGTTATGGGACATCCAGGACACAAGGCATCTGTAAGATTGGGTTGTCTCTGTGTGAAGCACATTGAGGGAGGGGCTATGAATAACTATGTGCCTTTTTTCTCATCCACTTTCATTCACAAGGACCTTCTAGGTGCAATGGCAGAAGTTTCAGGCTGAGCTTCGTTAGCATGGCTCCTGCAATGGACATTGCCATCAACAGTGAATGAATGTGATAGGATTAAGACTAATCCCAGTACAAATCACACAGTAGATGCAGATTTGGAGTAAGACACACTTGGAAGTGAGAAGTCTTCATGGCACCAGGTATAGGTTTCAGCCAAAACCTCTTCCCAAAACCAGGAGGAAATATGTGGAGAACTGATGATGGAGGTTTGTCTGAAGGACTCTGGAGTTAATTACTACAGTGGTGGTATTTCCCAGGCTTTCCCTTCACAGACAGATGGCTCAGCTGGAGAGAGAGGTGCTCCAGGGGTGCATGGGGTGACACACCAGGCATGGAATCATAGAATCATAGAATGGCCTGGGTTGAAAAGGACCACAATGCTCATCCAGTTTCAACCTCCCTGCTGCGTGCAGGTTCACCAACCAGCAGACCAGGCTGCCCAGAGCCACATCCAGCCTGGCCCTGAATGCCTCCAGGGATGGGGCATCCACAGCCTCCTTGGGCAACCTGTTCCAGTGTGTCACCACCCTCTGTGTGAAAAACTTCCTCCTAATATCCAACCTAAACCTCCCCTGTCTCAGTTTAATACCATTCCCTCTTGTTCTATCATTATCCATCCTCTTAAACAGCCGTTCCCTTTTCTGTTCATATGCTCCCTTCAAGTGCTGGAAGGCCACAATGAGGTCTCCCTGGAAGGAGTCTGCTTATTGCACCCTCATGTAATTATTTCCAGTACACCTCTATGATGAGAGCAGATGATCTTGACACTTCAAAACATATTCTGTCAATGTTTTTCCCAATTCCAAGCCACCTGGTCTTCATACAGAAGGATTTACTCAGAGGATGGTGATGCACTGGAACAGCTGTCCAGAGACCTATGGGTGCCCCATCCCTGGAGGTGCCCAAGGCCAGGTTGGATAAGGCCCTGGGCAGCCTGAGCTGGTGGGCAGCAAGCAACCCACGGCATGGGGTTGGAACTGGGTGGGCTTTAAGGTCTCCTCCAAACTCCACCGTTCTGTCATTTCACCTAATAAATGAAACACGGTATTTTAGAGCTGGGGACAGATTGTGTTAAAGTGAGTTTGATCAAGTACTCATCAGCAAGGGAAATGAGGGGCACTCCCCTGCTGCCTCTTCCAATGTCAGTTGCTTCAAATGGGATGGCCAAAAATCTCCAGTATCGGACTGGCAAACACTGCACTGCAGGATGAGTCAGATGCCTTAAACAACACTCTGTGTTTCATTAGCTACTGCAAACTGCTAAGAAACCACAACACAACTGCATGTTCCTGCAATACGTGGAATGGAAAAACCGAGCCCATTTACTATCAGCATAAGCACTTGAAAACAGTCTCCAATTAGATGTCCCCCTGCCTATGCCATCTGAGCATGTGTATTGTTTCATAACTTCTGTGTGATGCTACCGAGCAATGATTGCTCCTGGCAGCTGGGTTGTATTTCTGATACAATCTTTTGCTTGCAATAAACCCTCTCAGCTGTTTCAGAAATCTGTTTGCATATGGCTCCTGGTCACTTCTAAATGCTCTCAAGATTTTTATTTTGTAGAGGTGCCAGAAAAGAGAATGTTTACTTGTAAGCAATGAACCTCAGCAACGTACTGAGGTTGGGAGTGTGAGCTGTGACATGGAGCAACGTGTGTCTGGCCATTAGCTAGAACAAGTACAGGGTTGGGGGGTAGGGGAGTGGGTGCATGTACAAACACATGGTCTGTAAAACCAACACATGCATGACTTAACTGCAGAAAAGAGATGATCGCTGTCGCTCATGTATGCAGCGTCTCCTGTGTAGCAAGAAACTCATGTTGAGCTTGGAGTCCAGCTCCAAATTCTACACCATAAACAGTGGGAAAGCACTCACCCTCCCAGAGGGACAGCCCTGCCTGGCCTGCAGGCACTATAGCTCGGAGCAGCAAACATTGAATGGAGGGAGCAAGAGGAAACACTGATTGTTTTGGAGTGGCTCTGGATAAAAATGCTTCAGTGTGTCAAGTTTCTACCACAGACTTCTTGTGAGTTTAGATATCTAAATGGCAGGTGAAATTTGGGCTTAGGCAAGCATTTTTCTAAATTGTATTTTTGTAAATGTAATGAGGGTGATAAATGGGTGGTAAAGTTATTAAAGGTGAGGGTGATAAAGTTATTAAAGACTTGAATTCCATTTTACAACAAATGTCTTTATTTTAGTTACTGGATTTGTGTACTTATCATAAAAGGTATCGATTTGCAAAACACAAGCATGAGTCCAAGTCACTGCAGCTAGCAGGTTTACTCACGTGGTGACAAAGCACAAAAGTGTGAACGACACAGATCAGATGCTACTGCATACGGTCAATGCATTTGTGATAGGATTCCCAGTAATTCTAAAATAGTCTAAGACAGGAAGATTACACCGGGTTTTCATGGCAAGTTGGAGCATTTGGACCACAAGCACTTCTGACACTCTTTGCCTCGGGCCACGGCAAACACCACTGGATTCCCATCGTGTGAGATCTACTGCTCTTAGGAAACACAGCTGTGACAATCAGATCCATGCTTTTTTTTTTTTTTTTTTTTTGCAATGAACAGAGTAGCAAATTTTCTTTGCCTTACAGTAACAGCTTCAAGGAGGAAGGACGCAATTGGATCACTATGGTTTCAATCATCTTAGAGAAAATTCATTTAAGAAAATTGTAAGGCATCATCCTGCAGTTGATCTGGTCACCGCTGACCAGGTCTCATCTCAGTTTAGGTCTTAATGCAGTCAGTAGGATTTATAACAGATTAGCGTTTGTATAAAAGGAACACACAAGTACAAGTATTGCTAAATTAATTGCTCATACAAAGTATACGAATAATGCACTGTAAACAACTGCCTCTGATAGGTACTTCAGTTCCCGGGCTGTAATAGCTGCTTGTCATCTTTGGTTAATGCAAGATTTTTTCTGTCCTCCACTACAACAGCTGAATTTTTACAGACTGATTCCGTGCTCAATTCCCGATTCCACGCATTGCAAAGAACAAATGTTTTCTCCAACAGTATCAATGTGTAAACCAAACCGACCAAACTGATTGCATTCTTTACGTTGCTAACCTACACACACGCATTACGTGTGTGTATAAACATGTATACATAGATGTTTACGTACACACATAGATGCAAACACACATCCTCACTCTGCTACAGGGAACGCCCAGGCCAGCCAATGCACTTTGCATCTGTCAGTAAGAAGGATGCCCAACAGAACTGCATGCCAACACCTGGGGGCTGCTAGACCAGACAGACGGACACACAGACACACAGAACTGTGGATTTCCAAAGCGAGCACAGGAATTGTTTCAGTCATCACTGATTAGAGCCTTGAGGAAAGAAGGAAAGTCCCAGGGCTCCCTGCTAACCCGAATCAGTTGCACAGGCACAGATTCTTCACTTTGGACACATCTGATAGGGGTTTCAGCACTTCTGTCCCAAACGTCACTGTCTGTTTTGTTATGTGGCAGTGTAGTCTGAAAAGCCACTGGCTAGTCTCCAAAGGCAAACTGCAAAAAAGGGCACTTAAATCCACTGGCTGTCAGCAGGTTTGAGAATTGGTCCACAATATCCAGAAACTGAATTCTACACATTGCTCTAAATAACAGTAAAAGAGTTAAGTGGGATCTAGAGAGAAGTGGATGATGTGCATACAATTGTGTAAGATAACCAAGGAGTTAATCACTCAGTCCTACAGCATCAGAGAATGCTCTCTAGCACCGTTCTCAGTAGTACCACATTAATACTGCTAATTGCTTGTGCAAGGTAGATACTTAATGCATCATGTAAATTCATTTGGTTGCTAGGACAAGACTTCCTGTCACTATGT